TAGATAGAATAGAATCTTTATTTTTGTTGTACCCCAGATTTGAGGTTTGTTGATAAATACAACAATTTAAAAGTAATAAATTATGAAGACATTATGAATAGATTAGCAAGAGTGATGTCATTAACCACAGAATTAAAACAAATCAATAATAACAGTTGTTTACCTTTACAAAATGGACCACTGGCATCTAAATAAAAACCTTCTGGACATTGATTACTTGGTTCACCTGGAAATAAACAAATATTGTTGATAATATGATTACAAATTTATTCAGGTTTATTTGTTTTTACATAATACATACAGTAAAATATGGAATTTATTTTTGCAGAAGGGATGATCATTGAAAATTAAATCCAGTGAATATGATTGGTCCTTGTCTGAAGGGCAACCTCTCCAAAAAAGTTCATGAAAATTCATGTATAAAATGGGAATTGTCTGGTGAAGACTCCGTTCAAAAATCCATTTCCATGGCAACCATATCCAGATCCTAAAAATCTAACTGATTGATCCTTGTCTCAAGGACGATCTCCAATAAAGAATTTTAAAAAAAATATTTCAACAAATTTTCATGTTATCTGACAAGCAGACAAACACATTCAAAAATATAACCTCCTTGGCAGAGGTAATAATTACTCCAACTGATGACACTCACCTTTCGATATAGAAGTAGAAATCTCATATTGTAGTACTTGTTTAGAGGAATCATAATCTACACCTAGGCCTACAGCGTGTAGTTTTTCAACTAAAAATGGCATTCTCCCCAGACGAGGATCATAATGTATAGAATGGTTCCAAGCATAAGGTAAAGAGTGTCCATCCATGCTGAACATTCTTGTGGAATAAGCATAGATTTCGCCATTATTTGTTTGTATATAGTCTTCAGTGTATGGCTTTAATCTAATGTCTACCAATGGTAGCTTTGGTACTTCACCCTTAATTACGACATCGATTTGTAACTGCCCGTTTTCATCTACACCATGTGCTTTATGTGTCATTGTCAGAATCTCACCTGCAATTATATACAGTTTTTTCGTTATAATCATCTTTTATGTCTATCCTAAAACAACACACATGAATGCATAAATTGAAAAGACAAACACAAAACTTTTAACCATTTGAGTGCAAAAATCTGCAATGATTTGCACATTTTTATGCATTTTATATAATAATAATTTATTCATTTAAGGTAGAGATGCAGTTTACCTGACAGGTATTTTAATTAGTTAATTAGAAAACCAAGATGACCTCCCTTGACCACAAAACTATATATTTTCGGAAAGGTTATTGTATGAATTTTAAAATTTTGTTAGTATTTTTATTTTATGAACACTGTAATTTGAAATATGTACAATAATGTGCTTTTTTGGTCAAATGAAGTTTGAACGTGATTGGTCAAGATATGTCAGGCATATTCAGAGCAGTAATTGTTGGAAAAAAAATGGCTGCCAGTTGGACATTTCGAATTTGATAACATGCATCAAGGTATCATTATGTCCAATGTACTGTAAAATACTTTATTTTAGCTGGAATTTATTTGTATGGAATTTATTTTCACTGATTTTTGACAAGTTGAATGTAAAATATAGGAAAAAAGGTATATTCCCTGGAATTTAATTTCACTGAATCATTCATTCACAAAAATAGCGAAAATTAATTCCAAGCAAAAATAAAGTATTTTACAGTATTTACCAAAAAGAAATTTTGATGAATTCCAAGCATAAAAGTCCTCGCCATTTGGCCAACTTGAATTAGATCACGAAACAAATGAACGTTTTTTAAGTTTTTGTCTTCAATTTTTCCTTATAAATCTATAAGGAATTTGTCATACTATAAGAATCTTAATAGATGTTAGAAAAAGCATACTCAGATGTTATGTAGATTTACATTCAAATATCTCAAAATATTCATGTTACCTGTGGCAAATTCTACTTGTGTTTCTCTTCTAAACACACCATTGGTAAGTGTATATCCATTGACTGCTTCATCAATTTCAAGCGCTGAAGTCCAATATATTGGTGTCAATAACGATATCAATTTTCTCATCCAATATCCTATGATATGATATGAGAAGAAATTTTATTTTTTAAGAGATCAGAATTTCAAATATAACTACCACTGACTACTCCAATTATTTATAAACATAAAGAAGAATTCATTACACCAAGAAATTGCTGAATTTTGAGTCTAATAAATAACATGTCAAAAACACAAAACCTGATTGACAAACAATCCACAGAACTATAAACGAACAATTATCAGTGATGGAAAAAAGCGTTAGTCTTTCCAATAAATTTGTGGGGGTGTGTGGGTCCTCTCCACATGTACAAATCAAAGAAAGCTTAGAAAGAACTCCCGTGTGCTGAGGGAATAGGGATCATGATGTAATATTCAGGAATATTTAAAAATGATAAACAAATTATGAATAATCTATTAAATAAGGAGCCACCAGTAGTCATCTACACACATAGACATCGTATACCTACAATAAGCCTACTTAAAAATATACATAAAAAGTCTACACAAAATTGCAACATTAAAAGGAAAACTGAAATAATTCATAAAACATTGGGGAAAATGAAATGCAACGAAAATAGTAAACAAATAAATGCCCAAAATAAACTTATAGGGCATTTAAAAATATTTTAGAAATTTAGTTAACACGGAAAACGTGAAGTAGCAAGAACAACTATGTAAATTTCTGACAAACAATCACAATCTAAATATCTAAAATTCAAACCACTATCTTAATATCAATATGTGTGTCAATAAATATTATAATTATTTATTTTCAGTTACGTATATTAATAAGGAAGGCATCACAATCTTTTGGATTGGTTTGTAAATCCCGAAAATCGACATGGTAAAATTACAACCATCGTACAGCTCAGTA